GTCGCTATGCAGGGCACCACTGTATTTCCGCATTTTGACAGAACATGACTGGAATATAGATTGATTTAAACCAGCATCCTCAGTCACTCAGAAAAATATTTAAATAAAATGACTTGTTTCATGATTATTGCCTTTAAAAGTTCCCCACTAAAAATACAAACATCTACACCGCAGGCCAAGTTACACAGTCCAACTAATTATTCACTACTGGTGGTCTTTAAGCTCATTATTAAGTGCAATTATCGCTCTGGGATAAAAACTGTTCAGAAAACATGTGGTCTGAGTCTTAAAGATTCAGTATCTTCTGCCAGACGGCAACAGTTCAAAAAAGTTATAAGCAGGATGGGAAGAGTCTCTCAGGATGCTGTGTGACTTCCTCAGACAGCGGGATGTGAAGATGTCATCCAGGGTTGGTAGCTGGAGCCCGATGATATTCTGGGCAATTTTAATGGTTCTCTGTAGAGCTTTTTTGTCCGCTACAGAGCTACTCCCAAACCATGCCAGAATGCCATAGGTTAGGACACTCACAATGGTGCTACGATAGTATGACAGAAGTAAATGCTGAGATAAATTTAACTTGCTGAGCATTCTCAGGAAATACAGCCTCTTCTGTGCCTTCTTCATTAGCATGTTGGCATTTATAGTCCATGAGAGGTCCTCTGAGATGTAAGTACCCAGAAATTTAAAACTACCAACTCTCTCCACTTCCTCACCGTTTATGTACAGTGGTAAACGTACATTTCTCTTCCTTCTAAACTCAATTATGAGTTCTTTAGTTTTTTTGATGTTAAGTGTGAGATGATTTTCTTTACACCAAAGTATCAACCTTTGTACTTCCTTTCTATAAGCAGACTCATTGTTCTTATTTATGAGCCCCACCACTGTTGTATCATCCGCAAATTTAATAATTGCATTGGTGTTATACAGTGGGGTGCAATCATGTGTGTACAGGGAATAGAGGAAGGGACTTAGCACACATAACTACGACTCATTGGAAAAACTAATGCAGTCATCTGCAACTAAATCAAGTTTCTACACTAACTGAAACCAAAAAAGTGTTCTTATTTCTTTGGAATTACACGATTTTATCTGCTTAGAGACCAGGAGGCAGTTGCAAAATTAATGAACTGATTTTGCTCTGTTATCTCTTTTAATGTCTGTTATCTTATTTATCTGTTGAGGATGGTAAAATCAAGATCAATTATTGAAAGAAGACAGTCACAATTTGAGTTAACAACATGGCACTGTTGGTTAAATGCTGAGACCCAATGGCTATAGCTCAGACTTGCATAATTTGGAGCACTCCAAAATGTATTAATTACGTACTGGTGGCTGGGAATGACAGTTTCAGATTATGGTTGCGTAAATTTGAACTCTGAGAGGTTCAGCAGGTGGCCTTGTCACTAGTCATCAGCCTAATCTACTCCATCAGTGGGTTAAAGAAGGTAAAGAAGGTAAAATTAGGGGAGTTGGGAAAATGACTTAAACTACAGGCACCTTAAAATTGCAGTGAAATAATATTATATGAAGTTGGTAAATCCTAAACAAAACAATATTTCTCTGTGGAACAGAAAATAGAAAATCCTGTAATACAGTTCATTCTTTCTGTAACACAATTCATTCTTTCTTTATTATGAAAAAGCACTATAATTTAAATGATTTTATTAGCAATCCCATGAATGGATTCAAATGCAGAATGTATCATTTGGTAGTGCCAACTATTAAATAGGAAAAAAATTAACAGGCATTGAGTCCACATTCACATAACAGACATGGGAAACATTACCTTTATGTGTGAAAACTCGTTTGCTTTTTGATTGGAATAAAATGAAAACAACAAGTTAGAGTAAACACCCAAGAGTAGTTTGGGGGTACCTTAAGACTATTTCATATATTGCCTCCTGAAAGGCAAATAGCACTGGTACATGCTTTCTGTCCACTTATGTCAAAAAAAAAAAAAAAACGAGCTTAGATGTGTTTATTTGCCGGAACCACCTCCAAAAGTGACAAGAAGTCAGAGCCGACCTCTCAGTGCCTCTGGCAGTCTGGGAGCCAAAGGAGCGGCGGGCGACTTCCATCCCAGAGGCTCTCGCATCGCAAGTCCCGGCCATCACAGCCAAGGGTGAGGAGGCTCGCGGGAGGGGCGGAGCAGCCCGTCCCTGCCCCCCAAAATCCTCGTGGGGAAAGTCCCAGGCGGACTCACGAGGAAGCTGAACGACGGGCCCAGAAAGTGGCGCAAGACATGCCCGGGCACGTGATCGCCTCCCGGTCCCTCTTTTCTCCCTCGGCTCGGCTCCTCTCCCCGAAGAAGGGAGAGCCCGCCTGCCCGCGCTCGCGGGAGGGGCGGAGCAGCCCGTCCCTGCCCCCCAAAATCCTCGTGGGGAAAGTCCCAGGCGGACTCACGAGGAAGCTGAACGACGGGCCCAGAAAGTGGCGCAAGACATGCCCGGGCACGTGATCGCCTCCCGGTCCCTCTTTTCTCCCTCGGCTCGGCTCCTCTCCCCGAAGAAGGGAGAGCCCGCCTGCCCGCCTCCACCTCCTTCTCTCTCTCCCCCCCCTCACCCTCACCCCGCAAGTTAGCTGGTGAATGGCCACGAGGGGCTGCCACTTCCCTCCCACGGGCCCCGCGCTCACCTGTGGGGATGCCCAGCTCCTTGGAGCCTCGGCCGAAGCCCCGCACCACCTCGCCGCGGCAGAAATACGGCAAGTGCTTCATCGCCTCCCGAGAACCCAAGCGGGCCAGCGGGAGATCGGAGGGGCAGAAGAAACAGGACCCTCCGACACAAGGACTCGACGTCAACGGCGCCCCCTCAGGCTCGAGCCCAACCGTTAAGCGACGGGAGAGACTCTCTCTCTCTCTCTCTCTCAAGGCGGGCGACCTTCACGCGCCCACCTCTCAGCCAGCGGCTGCGGGCGACGGTCCCAGTCCCTATTGCAATGAATCTGCCGGCACGGAAGAGGCGGGGCTCCGCGTTACGTCACAGGAAGACGTGACAAAGGCGACCGAGGGACGAACGTTCTAGCACGCCCCGAGAGTTTCTGGCGTGGGAACTGGTCTCGCTTCAGGCTCCTCCGGACTTGCCGGCCGGCCAATGGCGTGGCAGCCTCTTGCGCGCGCTTCTGCCGCAGGCAAGAGGAAGAGCGAGAGAAAGAGAGCAACGCCGGCGGCTTTCTGCGCCTGCGTCCCGACGACCCGGACGTGGGTGAAAGGTTTTAGCCCAGTAAAAATTGACAGGGGTCTCGCGCGCGTTAAGGACGAGCCGGTCCTTTTGCACCATAAACTGCTACGTGTTAGATTTAGAGGGGGCAATAACTGGTCCGTGCATGGCAGTGACTTCTACTCCAGGCAAACAAATGATAAACAACAATAAATGGGTCAGTTTTAGGTAGAAGCTGATGACACTCTTCATTCAAAGACACTATGATGATAGTAGGAAGGGCATGGTCATTTTTCTCAATCGAAAGGGTGGTTTGTCGTCTCTGTTTCAGGGTGGCGTATGGAATTCAGCACCCTAAAATGTAGAGGGTGCCAAAATCTAGATGGGAGTCTGCTGATGTTAGGAAAATAAAAGGGAGCAATCCCTGTTAGAAAACAGAATCCAAAATATTTTTGGAGGGAGGAATACCACATTTTACTCCTTTTTTTTTCTTGGTACGGGTTCACACCCCTGTTTCAGGCCAACTGGGTGGGAGACTGCTGGCTGTGCCAGGTGCCCAAATCTCGCTCTAGCCCACAGCCCTGGCTCTCATGTTGAGAGTTGAGACTGTGCCAGCTGAATTGCATTCCCAGTGAGCTCTGCCTGATCCTGATATCTTCAAAGTGTCATAGCTTAGTGATGTTAGTTGCTGCTGAGAAGACAGGCTTGAATGTAGAATTCATTTGTCTTTCACATAACTTGAAAAAATGCGTGAAAATTTTTTTGTTAATGCCGCTGCACTTTAATGAGCATTCAGTGCTGCATGCTTTATGTGGGGGGCCCAGGAACCCGAGGCATGAAAGATTATACACAAGTATTTGTAGCTGGAAACCTGCTCTATGGGATGGCCATTGATAGCTCAATTGTGCTTTACACTTCTTCTACTGACCACGGGAACTTTGGTCTTCTGGTAAGTAATTACTAACTGCTCTCGATTACAGTAAGAAGAAAGCCCCCTCAAGAGTCTTCTCAGTCCCATACATGTTAATGAGAGTAGAACTGCATCAACTGCATAAAGCAGCATTGATACATTGTAGCATTCCCTTTTATTATGTTGATGGTTCATATTTGTTATGTTAATTGTTCATGTATATTCATGTTGCTGGGAGTCAGAGTCTAGAGAGATGTGATAAGAGGTGGAGCCTGAGAGGGAGTCAGTCAGAGAGAGAATGAGTAGCGTGAGAGAGTGGAGAAGGAGATAGTGTGTGGAGTTTGGGGAAATCTGAGAGGTGATTAGTTAGGAGTGTATTACCAAACAGAAGATTGTTGTTGATAATAAATTTACCTACCATGTTTCCCCGATAATAAGACACTGTCTTATTATTTTTTGGGGACAGAAAAACACCAGAGGGCTTATTTTCAGGGGAGGGCTTATTTTAATGAACATTGACAGCCATTTCGGCTGTTCCAGTGACCATTTAAACCCAAAAAACGCGGGGAAGGAGGAGGAGCCGCCGCCACCGCAAGAGTGATGCGGGGCGCGCTGGCGGGGCAGGCAGGCAGGCAGTCGGGAGGGAGGGAAGAGGCGCGCGCGCTCGCCCGGCCACCCTCCCTTTCCCTCTTCCTCCTCTTCCTCCTCCTCCGCTTT